CAGTAATCACGGCCCGGGCGGGCCGCGCTATCCCCGGCCGGCCGATCCGGCGCGCCGAGAGGGCGGTCGCAGTGCCCGCGCCGGTCCTCCTACCTGGCCAGCCGTTGAGGCAGTCAGCAAATGGCGACCCAAACGCCGGGGACATCGACCTCCGTGTCATCCCAGTTTGAATGTCTGTGTGTTGGAGTGAGTGGGTGAAGGGTAAGTTAAACTTGGGGAACCCTAAGAACCTCAAAAGCCCGGCTTCTCGTTCCTTGGCCTTTTAGAAGCTTGGGTTTTGGGGGACAGACGGGTTAAAGTAAGTCTGGGAGGCATCATCAGCTATCTCCACGGGATGAGCGAAGTCGATAACTTTTCCATTCATGGAAGTGAGAGGATCTTAGTCTCGGCCACAGTCCTTATTAAAGGGAAACTTACTGATTTTTCAGATCTGGGGAATATGATCATTTCCACGTTATGTGTGTACTCCTCCTTGGAAGTACGTTGCATGGAAGGGGGACGTATAGTGCAAATTGGATGGAAAGTAATCTCGTTTTTTGAAATACGTGGATTTGGAAGTATAGAGACAGGCAAAACAGTATGTGTTTACCATGGTTCCAGTACTCCCCCCAACCCCCCCCCCTTTGTGTTTCTTTCTGAGCCCTGTCGTAAGTTCCAGAGAGAAGATGCTTGGGAAGGAATTGACCTTTTATTCCATAATTACTTTGTTGACTCTGATCCAAGATGAAGTTATTTATGGGCATTCTGATATCAGTGTAGATTAACTGAAAACTCTTTAAATACTAAAGCCCAAACTTTCTAAACTTTAATTTCCGTTTGCTAGACTTCATTGCAGTGTTGCGTCCTTTAGAGACGTAGTAAATTATGTTAACAGAGTTTTTGTGTTTGGTCCTATCTGTTAAGATTTTCCGAAGCAGTACAGTTGTTGACATGGGAAAAGGAAAAATGTAACTTAAAATATGCCTTAGAATTTTTCTCAGGGTAAACCTTTCAGTATGCAGTTTTTGCTGAATCACTCTTTTTTTATACTTAGTCACTGTTTCTTACTACAGAAGTTTAACTGGGGATAACATGTTTTGCTAGTTTTAAAATTGCAAATTTGTTTTCACTTGGTACTTTAATGTGTTGACATTAGCCTTTTGTGATTCTGGAAATGTTAGTGGGTGGAGTTTTGTGAGTGTTAAAAAAGAGCTGCAGTTTCAGATCAAGGTGAATTTTTATATATTCCAACTGTAGTAGATATTTAATTTTAATCCAGTATTTCTCCATGTCTAGCATTGGAAACTTTTTTTTTTAAACAATATAAAATGGTTCAATAAAATATACCATTGAAAAGCAGTAATATATAGATTGTTAATATTTTGAGATAATGTAATATAGTTAGATACTTTAAGGTCACCAAAGTAGACACTGATTAATGTATGTTCAGTAATTAATACAATGTGTTACCAAAATGTAGCAGTTTTAATGGGATAAGCCATATACTATTCTGTATGATTTTGGGTAAGTCTTTGGATAAAAGGAGTTAGTACATGCTATGGAATGACATTGTATTCATAGAATTCTTTGATGTTAAAGTCTTGAGTGAAAAGGCTATATAAAATACTATTTAATTTCAAATTAAGTTTGATGGAATAGGTGAGATTGATCTTGGCCTAGGGGCTTTTATATTGTCTGCAGCTACACAATACAGACAAGTATGCCTCACTTAAAATCCAGTCTGTGAAAATCTTTTTACAAAAAAAGTATGCCTTTTTTAAAATTTATTTTTAAGGATGGATAATGAAGGCAGAGGAGCCCTGGTGGCACAGTGGTTAAAGTGCTCGGCCGCTAACCAGAAGGTTGGTGGCTCAAACCCACCAACCGCTCCAGGATAGAAAGATGTGGCAGTCTGCTTCCATAAAGATTTACAGCCTTAGAATCCCTATGGGACAGTTCTACACTATCCTGTAGGGTCACTATGAGTTGGAATCAACTCGATGGTATTAGGTTTGATTTCGTTTTGGTTTAATGAAGGTGGTGGTGGTTCAGTGGTAGAATTCTTGCCCCCTCCATGTGGGAGACACGGATTCAATTCCCAGCCAGTGCGCCTCACGCACAGTCACCACTGTCTGTCAGTGGAGCCGTGCACATTGCTGTGATGCTGAACAGGTTTCAGTGGAGCTTCCAGGCTAAGACAGAGTAGGAAGGAAGGCCTGGTAATCTGCTTCTGAAAATCAGCTAGTGAAAACCCTCTGGAGCACAGTGGTCGAATCCTGTTATGCATGGGATCACCATGAGTCGGGGCCAACTCCTATGGCCGCTGACAACATTTGCATTAGATAGTTCCCCATATGATTGCTTTTGATTAGCTTTATAAGTTTAAATGATCTGATGTTAAAAATAATTATATATATACAAGTATATAGTTTATATATGTAAATATGGCTGTTGTGTAAAGCGAAGTACATCTGTTTTACAAAGACTACATGTTTGCATCCTGTTGGGCACACACATGATTATTATCAACCTTTGTAGAGTTCTGGATTGTTTTCAGAGTAGAATAATTGCCTCAAGGTCACAAAGCCGAGATTCCTTGGAAGCCCATTCCCCCATGTCATGCTGCCTGTTTTAATATGCTGAGTTCCACCATTTGGGTGAACTATTTTTATTTATCAACTCAAATAGGTTCTAGTCTGAATATCTCATGTTCACCAGTATTATTTCAATTTCTGATGTAAATTCCTAATACTTTCATTGTTTATTCAGTGGAGACATTGCAAGTAGTTGAAACTTTCACTTTGGAATAAGCTACTCAATCATATTTAGAAATGGAAGATGTATGTTTTGATTATATCTGGAGTGGTTAAAAACTTGAAAATTTTTCTATATAACTAGGTCATTCATTCTATAAATTAAAAAGTCAGCACCAAAGTGTAATAAAAAGACAACACACATATATAACCCATTTAGTCATTTTGGACTCCATCACAGTAGGGCATGTGCTTTAAGTTGGGCATTTAAATTAATAGTGGATTTTCAATCTTGTCTAGCCAGCCTCTTTTTTTTTTTAAAAAAAAAAAAAAACAAGTGAGATAAGATGTCCAACCGAGATTACAGATTATTATGGTCTTTAAAACTGAGTACACCTGATCAGCAAATCAGTCAGCAAGTGTTTGTATTTAGTATGCACTAGTACCTCCGACTATATGAAGAAGAAGAAGGACGAGCCTTGCCCTTGAGGAGCTTATAACTTTTTGCTAAATTTGAAATTTCCACTGTAGTCTCTGTACTAATGGTTAACTGATTGAACAAATCTGTCCATAGTTCCGTAATCAGGCTTGCAATGTAGCAACATTTTACTGTATTTAAATAGAATTCTGTTTCATCTAATACCATATTAATGGTAATACTAAGCAGTAGGCTGATGCCACTTCCTATTTCGAGCTTTTTTCCCTCACCCTGTTCCCTGTTCAGGCATCTGCAGTTGTGCAGACACCTTGCCTTTCTTCTTGAACCGATGTCCCTATATTCAGCTTTTCTCAGTAACCAGCCCATAGGATTGATGAAGGAGTTAAAATAGTGGAACAACATAAAGGTAAACTTTTCCTATGCCTTTTTTAAATTTGTTTAAAGATTTTAAAACAATGGAAGATTGAAATTAACTTTCTTTGATTTGCTCTTTGCTAAGTGATTTATCTTTCTCCATATCTGGAACATACATCTTAGGTACTTAAGAAATGTTTGCGCACAGTTGACTTTTTATAGCAGCTACCTGTACCTGTTGCCATTGAGTCGATTCTGACTGATAGTGACCCCACAGGACAGAGTAGAACTGCCCTCAGGGTTTCCAAGGCTGTAATCTTTACAGAAGCTGACTGCCACCTCTTTCTCCCACCGAGCAGCTGGTGGGTTTGAACCGCCATCCTTTTGGTTAGTGGCCGAGCGCTTAGCTGCTGTGCCACCAGGGCACCTTATAGCAGATACAATGAAGTAATTTTGACTTTGTTTAATGCTAGATCTATAAGGTTGTACCTTTTCGTGGAGTATGTTGTTTTCCATGAAATCAAGAAAATCAATTCGTTTTGACATCCGGATGGTTATTTGCTTGTATTATATTCTTTCATTTATTTATGTATTTAACGTAATGAGCTCCAGAGGTGCAGTTTTGAATGCAAAGGAAAACAAGAATGAATCAGACAGACATGGCCCCGCCCTTCATGGACTCATGGTTTTACTGTGGAGATAGATGTTAAACCGGGTAATGACTTACTTAGAGTTTTGACTAGTTACTAAGGAAAAATGCAGAAATGCAACGTGTAATAAACAGGAATCTTTGCCTTTTGGGGGTATATGGAAAAGTAACTTTGAAACTGAGCCATAAAGGGTGTGAGGCTGCAACTGAGCAGCGGGGAAGACTGTGTTGAAGTCAGGGGTAGACATTAGCCCTGCGGCAGGAACCTGCATTGAGTATTTTTGGTGGCTCTTTATAGAGTATTTAAAAATAATGTTTATTTGCAATCCTCTATTTATTTACCTCCTTACATATTTTAGTGAATTTGGAGAAGGAAAGAAATGCTTTTTGAAGGCAGTATATTTATGTCTAGAGATAGCTTTAAATGACAAGGCTTCATTTCACTGTATGAGAAAATACCATGTCTTAGAACTGTTCTTATAGCTCGCTTGTCAACCACAGAGTATGAACTGGGAAAGAACTTCTGTTAGAGAAAATTTAAATTGTTGTAAAGCATTTAATCATTTACAGATATTTTCTAGTCTAATAAAATTTTTTCCAGTAATTCAACTTTATGTGTAACAATAAAAATGTTGTTTGGAATGTCAAGATTCTGATCAAGGGAATTTAAAAAAAAAACTTAAAAATAATGAAGTTTTATTAAACTCATCTTAAACTTGAAGCCTTAATATTAGCAACATGGTTTCTACTAGGCCTGCCATGTCACTGTTCAACTGATAAATTAGGGATTGACATTTTAAATTTGTTTTACGGGATTAATGAACAATTGTGAAATACCTTATGAGGGCATATTTAATTTGATAATAGTAATCTTGATTAAAAAAAGGATGGATTGGGGAGAATTTGATTTCTCTTTTGCATAGCTGTTTTGAGAATTGTTCAATTCATGATGTAGTTCCAAATGTATGTTTATACTGAGCACTAGAAATGTAAATTGTTTAAAATGCATACATCCACAGCAAAGTAATGTGCTACTATAGTTAGAAAGGACCGAAAAGACTTTTGACCATAGGGGTGATTAAATGTTAGAATAAACTACAAAGTTCTGTAATCTTCATTCCTCAAATAACATCTTAAAATTGGATCACCAGTTACTGAAGTACTGCCTTGTTGTCTTAAACTTTTATAAGTAAACAGCTCTGTTATTATTCGTATACATTGTTCAGATGCAGATTTAAATCCTGGTTCTGCCACTTACTAGGTAGATGACTTTGGGCCTTTCTGAACCTTATTTCCTCTGGGTTGTTATGAGAATTAATAAGTGAAATGAGATCTGTAACGAAGCATAATATGGGTAGGTCGTGTTCCCTTTTTCTTCTAAGTCTAATTCAGTAAATAATTAATATTATGAACTTGCTATGGGTGCCCTTTTTTTAAAAAAAAAATTTTTTTCTTGTTCAGAGGGAGCAATGTGGAAGAAGCTGTATATTTTGAAGCCTGAGAACCCTCTACTTTCCCTTTGCCTTTAAAAGTTGTTGCTGTTGTTTTTGCATTTAACTCAGAGTTGTTTGGAATAGTTGCTATTTTAAACACTTTTGAATTAAGCAATGTTTGATGTTTTTGAGATGTGTTCTGGCTAGTGTGGTCATGTGATGGTGTGTACAGTGATGTAAAGTGTCCTACAAGTTCTGAGAGCAGTGGTCACTTTTGTTAGAGCTGCTTGTATTTTTAGGTTTCTTTCTTAGTAATAGTCAAACCTATAACCTTCAGCATGTACTTCATGATGAACTCAGTTTAGTTGTTGCAAAACAAGAAAGCTACAGCTGTTTTCACAATCACTCAGTAAGATTGGTCTAAAATCTTATTAAAGTTTCTTTTTGGATGTCTGCTTAATTTAGTGTTCGTGGTCATTAATCTTCCATTTCTTCGATTATGATTTTTTTTTAGCATGTCTCTTTAATTTATAGATGTTGTACTTTAAAACTTATGGGGATAAGTGTCCGAAGGTATTGAACTCATAATTTATACTTTTTAACACAATTTTAAAATATAGTTTTGGTATTGAATGTGTGCCTTGTTTTTTTCCTTGACATCATTGAACGCCGTAATATCAGCTCTGATCTTTTCTACTTATCAAGAGAAGCTATATAATAATGATTTAGGCAGACTTTTGTTATTCTAGTTTGAGGAAAGTCAAGCCTCAGCTGGAGAAAAAAGAAATAGCTCTTTGGGGAGTGATTAGTTTACGTGAGCCACCTGTAACCAAGATAGAATTTATGGAAAAATATGTCGAAGCTAGCAATCTCTTATGCACTGAGGTGAAGAAAATAGGTTAAGAATCAGATTCTTTCGCTATCAAGATTAGTCAGCTGTGATGGTTAAGATTGTGTGTCAACTTGGCTGGGCCATGATTCTTAGTGTTTTAAGGTAATCACTCCCATGGTTGAATATACTGTGAGTAGCCAATCAGATGAAAGGGAGTTTCCTTGGGGGTGTGGCCCGCATCTGAATATAAGCAGATGTTCTGGCTTTTTGCTCTCTGTGGATCCTGCGGCTGCTTCCTATCGTCTCATCCCCTGTTCTTAGGACTTGAGCTGTCAGCTTATCTGCCAAACCTAGGATTCATCGATCTGCACAGCCTGTGAGCAGGAGCCCTGCTCTCCGACCTGCTGATCTTGGGCTTGTTAGCTTCTGTGGCTGTGTGACTGGAGAGGCCCCTACCCTGATCCACACACTTGAGACGTTCTAGTGTCTACAGTTGCGTGAGCTGTTTCCTTGATATAATCTCTCTGTCTGTATATATTTATATACTTAACTGGTTTTAATTCTCTAGAGAACCCAGCCTAAGACATCAACAATATAGTAATATAGTGGCCAAGGAAGATGGGGCCTGGAAAAAAAATGCCTTTTGGATTTAGTGCTTAGAATCTCAGTTGTTGTTAGGTGCCATTGAGTCGATTTTGACTCCTAGCGACCCTATGTGGTAGAATAGAACTGCCCCTAGAGTTTTCTTTGCTGTAATCTTTACAGAAACGGATCACCAGGTCTTTCTCCCGTGGAGCTGCTGGGTGGGTTCAACCTGCAACCTTTTGGTAGAGCAGTTTTAATGAGTGGTGGCAAATATAAAGCCAGATTAGAAGGTTGAGGAATATGTGGGAGGCTAGAAGGATTTTTTTGTTTGTTTGTGTTCTGAAAGCTTGACTGAATAGGCAAAAAGAAAGGTAGCAAAAGAGAGATCCCCCAAAAAGCCCGTTGCCATCGAGTCAATTCCGACTCATAGCGACCCTATAGGACAGAGTAGGACTGCCCCATAGCATTTCCAAGGAGCATCTGGTGGATTCGAACTGCTGACCTTTTGGTTAGCAGCCATAGCTCTTAACCACTACACGACCAGGTTTCCAAAAGAGGGATATTGTTTATTATTTAGGTTTTTAAATTTTTTTATTGCATTTTACATTAAAGTGTACAGTACAAATTAGTTTTCTCATTCAAAATTTTATGCAGAAATTGTTTTGTGGCATTGGTTACAATCCCCGCAATGTGTCGGCACTCTCCCCCTTTCCCTTTCTACCGCGAGTTCTCCGTGTCCATTTGTCTAGTTTTCCTGTCCCTTCCTGCCTTCTTATCTTTGCTTTTGGTCAGGTGTTGCCCATTTGGTCTCGTATACTTGACTGAACTAAGAAGAAGCACATTCCTCATGTGTTATTGTTTGTTTTATAGGCCTGTCTAATCTTTGGCTGAAAGGTGGACTTCGGGAGTGGTTTCAGTTCTGAGTTAGCAGGGTATCCAGGGGCCGTAGTCTCAGGGTTCCTCCAGTCTCTGTCAGACAAGTTAGTCCTTTTTTTTTTTTTTTTTTTGTGAATTTGAATTTTATTCTACATTTTTCTCCCACTTTGCATGGAACCGTCTATTATGACCCCTTTCAGAGTGATTGGTAGCTGGGCACCGTCTAGTTCTTCTAGGCTCAGGCTGGTGGAGGCTGTGGTTCATGTGGTCCATTAGTCCTTTGGACTAATATTTTCCTTATGTCTTTGGTTTTCTTGATTCTTCTTTGCTGTGAACGTGGTGGACCAATATATGTATTTTAGATGGCCACTTGCAAGATTTTAAGACCCCAAACATTACTCATCAAAGTAGGAAGTAGAAAATTTTCTTTATGTACTATGTTATGCAGGTTGACCTAGATATCCCCTGAGACCACGGTCTCCAGCCCTCGGCCCCAGTAACTCAGTACCTCAGGGTGTTTGGATGTGTCTAGCAAGCTTCTGTGGCTTTGCCTTGGTCTAGTTTTGCTGACTTCCCCTATATTATATGGTATTTAGATTTTTTTAAGATGAGAATGTCTTAAATATGTTTTACTATTAATCAGAACAACCCAATAAGGAGGTTAAAGGTTATAGAAAAAAATACACTTAATAGGCTCAATAATCGAAAGTAAATCAACATACTGTGCTGATGTTTTCCATTATTTTGGGTGTAAAACTTTTCTTGATAGAAGTTATAATAGCTGATTTTAAACCAGGAAAGACCATTAGGTATCTGTATACTTTCATGATATTTGATAGATACTATTTCTCTGCTTAAAATCCTCAGTGACTTCCAGTTACTTAAAGTCTGAACTCCTAAGAGTAACAGTAAGATTGTAAATAGTCTCATTCCCATTTGGTCTTATCTCTTAGGGACAGCTACCTTACATTTTACCTTGTGATCCCATGATACCAGGAAAGTTGAGGTTTGCTGAACATGTTTTGCCAATTCATGCCAGTTCTGCGTTTGCATGTGCTGTTACTTCACCATTGAATGCCTTCCTTCCTTACCAGCCTTGCCCTTCCATACTTCAGACTTCTCATCTTTCAAGATTACTGTAAATTCTTCTCTAACCCCTACCCATACTGCTTATTATTTTCTCTGTGCTACCGTTTTACTTCTGTTGTTCTGATCATGTAATAGTGTAATTTGACTTTTATTGTCTTTGACTTCCTACTGTAGCTCCTTGAGAGGAGGCAACCTGTCTTACTAATCTTTATATCGCCACACCAAATACAGTAGTGCATGGTAGTTGTATCAGAGTGTTTAATGAATGAATGGAAACTATGACCTCAGAAACAAGTGTGCCCACAGCCGCAGAGCTTGAGGTAGAACTCGTATTTTCTGGATAAATTCCCTTTATGTTGTAATTAAGACTTATTCTGTGGATTTGTTATAGAATTTATTAAGGCATATGCAGAAGGAGAGATCATTAGATGAAATCTTAAATGAATTCATATATTTAGAGGGGATGGAAAAAAGAGAACTTTTATTGAAGTTTTAGGAATCCCTGGGTAGCACACACCGCTGAGCACTTGTGTACTAGCCGAAAGGCTGGTGGTTTAAAACCACCCAGAGGCTCCTCGGAAGACAGGCCTGGTGATCTGCTTCTGAAAGTTCACAGCTTCGGAAACCCTATGGAGTGGTTTTACTCTGCACACATGGGGTAGCCAGTTGGAATCAGCTCGACGGCAGCCAACAACAACAACAGCAAAGTTTTGGTTAAGTCTGTTTATGGAGTTCAGGTATTTCTTTTTTAGGAATATGATAAGGTCTCTGCAGTGTGGGGTATATCAAAATCAGTTCAGTTAAAGTAAAAAAGGTAAAAGTTAAAGAAGCCTCTAATATCTGTTAAAATAAGCATTACCTTGTTTTGTCATTAATTTATACATTACATAGGAGACAAGAATTTAAGTGTTATGTTTTAAAGCTTTGCTTTTTTAGGCATATTATTATATGGTATATAAAAATGAACCTTTATGACAATAGTAAGTTGTTACTTGAATTGAAGTGCTTAAGTTCTTTCAAAATGTATTGATTTATGTAAAATAAACTTATTGCTATGATTATTTTATATTTTTTATATTTTACCCTAAAAGAAGCCAGTATATATTAGCAGTTTATTATTAAACAGTTTTTCCAAATGACCACTTTTTGCCTGACTTCCTATCTTTTTCCATTTCAACAACTAGAGCTGGACTGGCCATTATGGAGGAGGAGCTGCATCATTCACACTGCGTGAACTGTGTCAGCAGACGGTGCATGACCCGACCAGAGCCTGGGATTTCCTGTGACTTGATTGGTTGCCCATTGGTTTGTGGAGCAGTTTTCCATTCTTGTAAAGCTGATGAACATCGACTTTTATGTCCATTTGAACGAGTGCCTTGTTTAAATAGTGACTTTGGATGTCCGTTTACAATGGCCCGAAATAAAGTTGCTGAACATCTAGAAACATGTCCTGCAAGCGTGGTGTGCTGTACTATGGAGTGGAACCGATGGCCAGTTAGTTATGCAGACCGGAAATCATATGAAAATCTAAGCAGAGATGTTGATGAAGTGGCACAATTAGATATGGCCTTGGCCCTTCAAGACCAAAGGATGCTGTTAGAATCTCTCAAAGTAGCCACCATGATGTCAAAAACAACTGATAAAGTATCAGAAGCTAGAGAACAAATTTCAGTGAAATCAAGTGTCCCAGAAGTACCACATACTAATGGCTTGGTGTCTGTTCATGAAGAATCTTATGGTGCACTTTATCAGGCTACTGTAGAAACAACCAGAAGTTTGGCTGCTGCTTTAGATATCCTAAATACTGCCACAAGAGACATTGGCATGTTAAGTACAAGTCTTTGTGTATCCCAAAATGAAATAGATGAAGAGCAAAATACCAGAGAAGGCTTACAGGATAGAAACTTAAAAGACCAGGATCCTCTTTATGATTATGAGATAGGAGTAGTAGGTGGAATTGACCACAACGATACAAATCAGAATGCCCAGCCTGAACAAAATGGTTCAAGTGATGTATTATGTGACTTGGATACACGTTCTCATGGCACTTCTGCTCTTTGTAATGGCTTTCCTTTGGAAAATATATGTACACAGGTACAGAATCAGAATTTACATGGTGATTCAAAGCAAACTAACTTAACAAATGGAGAATGTGTGGCATCAGATGACGCTTCAGAACCTTCCAGTTCGCTTTCAGTAGCAGCACAACTTAGGGAAGTAATACCGTCCAATCCTTTGCCTAATGGCACAGTGCAGCATATCCTTATGCCCAATGATGAAGATGAAGGAGAATTGTGTCAGAGAAAAGTAGACTTAGGGGACTTGAGAGATATGAATGTCTTGCCTTTTGGTATTCATTCATTCAAATTTCTGTCTAATTCATGTTGGTCCAAACCGAAGGAAGATAAAGCAGTGGATACATCAGATTTGGAAGTTGCAGAAGATCCCATGGGCCTCCAAGGAATAGATCTAATCACAGCAGCATTACTGTTTTGTCTAGGAGATTCTCCAGGTGGGAGGGGTATATCTGATAGTCGCATGGTTGATGTTTATCACATTGACTTTGGGACTCAGACTTTTTCACTTCCATCTGCAATATTAGCTACAAATACAATGGTTGGGGAAATAGCTTCAGCTTCAGCTTGTGATCATGCCAACCCACAGCTTTCAAATCCAAGTCCGTTTCAGACACTTGGGCTGGATTTAGTTTTGGAATGTGTTGCTAGGTACCAACCCAAGCAGCGTTCAATGTTTACATTTGTTTGTGGACAGTTATTTAGAAGAAAAGAATTTTCTTCACATTTTAAGAATGTACACGGTGACATTCATGCTGGACTCAATGGCTGGATGGAACAGAGGTGTCCTTTAGCTTATTATGGTTGTACCTATTCTCAGCGTAGATTTTGTCCATCAACACAAGGAGCAAAGATTATACATGACCGCCATTTGAGGTCATTTGGAATTCAGCCATGCATATCTACAGTATTAGTAGAACCTGCTAGACACTGTGTGTTGGGATTACATAGTGACCATCTGAGTAGTCTTCCTTTTGAGGTCCTGCAGCATATTGCAGGCTTTCTTGATGGCTTCAGTTTATGCCAGCTCTCCTGTGTGTCCAGGTTAATGAGGGATGTGTGTGGCAGTCTGCTTCAGTCTCGTGGAATGGTCATACTGCAGTGGGGGAAAAGGAAGTATCCAGATGGAAAGTCATCATGGCAGATAAAAGAAAAGGTTAGTTAATCTTAACTGTATCAACCCCTTATTTTACATATTTTTGTTGTTAGCTGCCACTGAGTGGACTCCAACTCTTGGTGACCTTATGTACAACAGAACAAAACATTGGATGGTCCTGCGTCATCCTCACAATCTCCAGCATGTTCGAGTCCATTGTTACCACTGTTGTACCAGTTTGTGTCACTGAGGGTCTCTCATGCTCTCGTTGGCCCTCTACTTCACCAAACATGATGTTCTGCTCTAGCGATTGCTCCCTTCTGATGATGGGTCCAAAGCAAGCAAGTAGGACAATGTTCTGTTGTGACCCGTAAGGTTTTCACTGGCTGATTTTTGGAAGTAGATCACCAGGCCTTTCTTCCTGGTCTGTCTTAGTCTGGAAGCTCTGCTGAAACCTGTCTACCATGGGTGACCCTCCTAGTATTTGAAATACCATTGACATAGCTTCGAGCATCATAGCAACACACAAGCCACCATGGTCTGACAAACTAATAGATGGGTGGTGGTGACATATAGTAGCACTTAATGTTACTGATGAATTAGTAAAATTAATATCTTGTTGGTAAATTAACCATCCCCTAAAACTTACAAAGTTCATATGATGGCGAACTCTTTTTTATTAATAACTAATTTGGAACTAGGATCATTAGAATTATTCGTCATGATTACAGATTTTTTGCAGACATCCTAGAACTAGATTCAGATCTAATGTAGTATAGACCACATCTTGTTTCTTTAATTGAGCAGTTCCATATCCCTCCGTTCTTCTGAAACAGCTTTATTTGTTTGGGTCCATTTTATCACGTTCTAACTTGGGCTCCATGTGAAACATTTTCACCATAAGACAGTGGAGGAAGCAAGGAGAAGGTTATTTCCTGCTTACAATTGGCATTTTCTCTCTGTCCTTTTTAGCAACTTCTCTTGTAGGACTTGGTTATTTCAGGTAGAACTTAGCTAGAAAGAGATAATAATAAGCTGTAACCACTACTACAGACATGCTAGTAGAGACCAATAGAGTATTCGGGGGATATTGTTTTTGTTAGGTGCTGTTGAGTCAGTTCCGCTGTTAATGATTCTATGTGCAACAGAGTGAAAACACTGCTCGGTCTTGCGCCACGCTTACAGTTGTTGCTGTTTGAACCCATTGTTGCAGCCACTATTTCAGTCCGTCTCGTTGAGGGTCTTTCTCTCTTTTGCTGACCCTCTACTTTACCAAGCATGATGTCCTCCTCCGGGGACTGGTCCCTCCTGATAACATGTCTAAAGTAAGTGAGATGAATTCTCACCATCCTCACTTCTAATGAGCATTCTGGCTGTACTTCCAACACAGATTTGTTCTTTCTTCTGACGATCCATGGTATAGTCAATATTCTTTGCCAACACCATAATTCAAAGGCATCAATCCTTCGGTCTTCCTTATTTATTTTCCAACTTTCCCTTGCATATGAGACAGTTGAAAATACAGTGACTTGGGTTAGGTGCACCTTAGTCCTCAAAGTGATATCTTTGCTTCTTAATGCTTTGTAGGGGTCTTTTGCAGCAGGTTTCCCCAGTGCAATATGTCATTTGATTTTTTTTTTTTAATTAAGATGAAGGTTTACAGAGCAAATTAGTTTCTCATTAAACAGTACACGTACTGTTTTGTGACATTGGTTGTCAACCCTGCAACGTGTTGACACTCTCCCCTTCTCAACCTTGGGTTCCTCGTTACCAGCTTTTCTGCCCCCTCCTGCCTTCTCGTCCTTGCCCCTAGGCTGGTGTGCTTAGTTAGTCTCATATACATGGTTGAGCTACGTACGTGTATTATTTGTTTTGTAGACCTGTGTAATCTTTGGCTGAAGGGAGAACTCAGGAGTGACTTCAGTACTGAGTGAGAAGGGTGTCCGGGGGCCTTGCTCTTAGGGTTTCTCCATTTTCTGTCAGATAAGTAAGTCTGGTCTTTTTTTTGTGAGTTAGAATTTTGTTCAACATTTTTCTCCATCTCTGTCCTGAATCCTCTATTGCGATCCCTGTCAGAGCAATCGGTGGTGGTAGCCGGGCACCATCTAGTTGTGCTGGACTCAACTGGTGGAAGCTGTGGTAGTTGCAGTCCATTAGTCCATTAGACTAATCTTTCCCTTGTGTCCTTGGTTTTCTTCATTCTCCCTTGCTCCAGATGGGGTGAGACCAGTGGAGTATCTTAGACGGCTACTCACAGGCTTTTAAGACCCCAGACGCAACTCACCAAAGTAGACGCAAAACATTTTCTTTATAAATTATGTTATGTCAATTGAGCTGGATGTCCTCTGAGACCATTGCCCCCAGTCCTCAGCCCAGTAATTCGAATCCCTCAGGGAGTTTGAATTTGTCTATGAAGCTCCCATGACCTTGCCTTGGTCAAATTGTGCTGATTTCCCCAGTATTGTGTACTGTCTTAACCGTCACCAAAGTTACTACTTATCTATCATCTAGTTAGTATTTTTCCCTCCCTGCTCCTCCCTCTCATTGCTTCTTCACTGCTACTTCCATGGGCTTGATTGCAGATCCCAGTAAAATGAAATCCTTGACAACTTCACTATTTTTTCTGTTTATCATGATGTTGCTTATTGGTGTAGTTGTGAGGATTTTTGTTTTCTTTATGTTGAGGTGCAATCCATACTGTAGGCTGTGGTCTTTGATCTTCATCAGTAAGTGCTTCAAGTCCTCTTCACTTTCGGCAAACAAGGTTGCGTCATCTGCATATTGCAGGTTGTTAATGAGTCTTCCTCCAGTCCTGATGCCTTGTTCTTCTTCATATAGTCCAGGTTCTTGGATTATTTTCTCAGCATACAGATTGAATAAGTATGGTGAAAGGATACAACCCTGACACAAACACTTTTCCTGATTTCAAACCACACAGTATCCCCTTGTACTATTTGAAGGACACCTCTTGATCTATGTACAGGGTCCTCATGAGCACAATTAAGTGTTCTGGAATTCCCATTCTTCCCAATGTTGTCCATAATTTGTTATGATCCACACAGTTGAATGCCTTTGCATAGTCAATAAAGCACAGGTAAACATTTTTCTGGTATTCTCTGCTTTCAGCCAAGATCCATCTCATATCAGCAATAATATCGCTTGTTCCATGTCCTTTTCTGAATCCACCTTGAATTTTTGATGGTTCCCTGTTGATGTACTGCTGTAACCACTTGAATTATATTCAGCAAAATTTTACTTGTGTGTGATATTAATGATATTGTTGGATAATTTCTGCATTCTGTTGGATGACGTTTCTTTGGAATGGTCACAAATATGGATCTCTTCCAGTCTGTTGGCCAGGTACCTGTCTGCCAAATTTCTTGACATAGACAAGTGAGTGCTTCCAGCATTGTATCTGCTTGTTGAAACATCTCAGTTGATATTCCATATATTCCTGGAGCCTTGTTTTTCGCCAGTGTCTTCTGTACAGCTTGAACTTCTTCCTTCATTGCCGTCGGTTCTAGATCATATGCTACCTCCTAAATAGTTGAACATCAACCAATTCTTTTTGGTACAGTGACTCTGTGTATTCCTTCATCTTCTTTTGGTGCTACCTGTGTTGTTCAATATTTTGCCCAGAGACTCCTTTAGAATTTGCAACTGGAGACTTGAAGTTTTTCTTCAGTTCTTTCAGCTTGAGAAATGCGAAAGGTGTTATTCTCTTTTGGTTTTCTAACTCCAGGTCTTTGCACATTTCATTATAATACTTTGTCTTCTGGAGCTGCCCTTTGAAATCTTCTGTTCAACTTTTACTTCATCATTTCTTCCATTTTCTTTAGCTACTCTATGTTCATGAGCAAGTTTCAGAGTCTCTTCTGATATCTGTTTTGGTCTTTTCTTTCTTTCCTGTCTTTTTGATGACCTTTTACTTTACTCATGTATGATGTCCTTGATGTATGATGTTTTGGATGTCATCCCACAACTCATCTGGTCTTGAGTCATTAGTGTTCAGTGCATCAAAACTATTCTTAAGATGATCTCTAAATTCAGGTGGGATATTCTCAAGGTTGTACTTTGACTCTCATGGACTTTTTTTAATTTTCAGCTTGAACTTGCATATGAGCAACTGATGGTCTGTTCTGCAGTGTGCTTGTCCATCGTCTCTTTCTACAAATGTAGTCGATTTGATTCTAGTTTATTCCATCTGGTGAAGTCCACTTGTATAGTCACCATTTATGTTGTTGAAAAAAGGTATTTATGTTGTTGAAAAAGGTATCGTTGATCTTGCAGAATTCTATCATGCAATCACCAGCACTGTTTCTATAACCAAGGCCATATTTTCCAACTATTGATCCTTCTTTTTTTCCAAGTTTCTCATTGCAATCACCAGTAATTATCAGTGCATCTTGATCATGTGTTTGATCAATTTCAGACTGCAGAAGTTGGTAAAAATCTTCAAATTTCTTCATCTTTGGCATTAGTGATTGGTACATAAATATGAATAATGTATTAACTGATCTTCCTTGTAAACGTACGGGTATTATCCTACCACTGACAGCATTATATACTTCAGGATAGCTCTTGAAATGTTCTTTTTGACAATGAATGCTACACCATTGCTCTTCAATTTTTCATTCCTGGCATAGTAGGCCATATGATTGCCTGATACAGATGGCCAATACCAGCCCATTTCAGCTCACTAATGCCTAGGATATTGATCTTTATGTGTTCCATTTCATTTTTGATGACTTCCAATTTTCCTAGATTCATAGTTCTGTTCCTGTTTTTAATGGACGTTTGCATCTGTTTCCTCTCATTTTGAGTCATGCCACATCAGCAAATGAAGATCCCAAAAGGTTTACTCTATCCAGGTTGTTAAAGATTGACCCTACTTTGAGGAGGCAACTCTTCCCCAGTTATATTTTGAGTGCCTTCCAACCTGAGGGGCTCATCTTCTGGCACTGTTATCAGACAGTGTTCTACTGTTATTCATAAGGTTTTCACTGGCCTTTTTTTTTTTTTTTTAATTAAATAGATCACCAGGTCCTTCTTCCTAGTCT